GACGGTGAAGTTTGGGGTAGGGTAGGCTGCTAGTGGCCTTAGTGGCTTCAAAAGTAAGGGTTAGAGAGCAAAAGGGCAAAGCACAAAATTTAAGCAGAAAAGATTGTTGGGATAGCCTGTATCATTTCAGCTGTCCTGGCCAAGATTCCCGGTCACCAATATATACCAAAAGTGCGATACGCTATGGCCAAGCTTTTAGCTGGTAAGGATCATAAGGGAGCGAACATGTCGATCGGTTATTTACAGTGAGTTTCTCCCAAAGCTTCTAAGCATATTTTGTTTTATATAAGCAGGTCGTTGCACGCAGAACGGAGCAATAGTGCGGGAACTTCGTCGTTTTTTTTATATGCGCAATCTCATCCTCTGCGATTTCCAAGTACTATTATCGCGAATGCGACTGTGTCCAGTTTCTGCGTGCCACGACTTGGCTATGTCTGTTTACGTCGATTGCCATAGATTTGATGGGTTCTTTTTGACATAGAGGGGCAGTAAGATTTTCATAATTTTTAGAGATCTCTATTTTTTGACGATTTTCAAAGCTATTTGATTCTAAGCTGTAGGTTACACTTATCATAGCGCAGTTGTCATTATCCAACGCACTTGTAAAAATTCTTGTAACATCCTCAATCAAGGGAACGGACCTACTGTCTCTGTTGTAATAAGTCTTCCTATATTTAGTGTGGAATTTCAGGGACGTTTTTACCAACTGTAATAGTGCGTTCGGCTCCTTGGCTACTGTGCTGCGGAGTGGGACGTCAAGTGCATCTACCGTTGATACTGAAGCAATTGCTGATTGTTTTGAGGGATCCGGTTCGACAAACCTGACGACGTGGCTAGAGGCACAAAAGCTATTGGGCATCGGGCAAGCTGAGCAAGCTTTGAAGATTATGTCTTTGCTTGGAACCAACAATCCTAAGTGTGCATAGTCCTCTTCTTTGGTATAGCACCTAGAACCATACTGCCGCTCATCAAGTGGTTTCAGGATCCTGACAGAGATGGGGCTGGTGTACAACTCACTAGGAATGCGACATGAAGCTCGTTCTGAACTGGCCAAAGCCCATTCGCTAGACGGTGAACAGCATTACGC